GGCTAATGATCCAACAATTCCGCCCCAGTTTGAACAAACAAGTTATTTCTTATGTCTCCAACAGTTTTCCCATCGGGAATTACGCAAGATTCTTGTGCCTCCATGTAGTCACTAATTTTACACTTTATTGCTTAGCTCACAATCGAGATCAGTTTTATGATTCGAATGTATGAGCCTTTGGAATCCGCAACAACGCTAACTGAAAACTTCAACAACCAACATGTCCGACCCAAAAAACAAAACGTTCCACATGTTTTCTACTCGCTCGCTATGCCTTATGGGAGGCACAGGCCTCCCAACACTAAAAACAAGAAATTCCCCTTTTTTTTTTTGGAAATGTTCAACAAAAAGGTAACAACACTCCAAAATTTTGCTATTGGGAATTACATAAGATATATATGTATGTGCAGACAGATATTATTTTCAACCCTGATGATCTAAACAGCCGAGAACGTTTGGTTCAAACATTTTATTTTTTTCCTAATCATTTAACCTTGTATGGAATAGACACCTTCCTGATTTATTAACTTTTATTTGAAAATACGTTTTTCTAGACAAGTCGGACGCTTTTGAGATTTTTAATTTTTTTTTCTTTTGTAAACGTTAGTTAAAATGTCTAACTTCAGTCTAGTTTAAAAAAAAAAACACTTTTTAGACCTCTGAAGGTAGGAGGTAACCGTTAAGCAACGCTCTGGAAAACACGACTCATAAACATGAACAACCCTTAGGTGTAATTAGGTCAAATAAATGGCCTTATGTTTTATTGCATGGTTATCAAAGTGTTGATTATTAAAATGCGAATTTAAAGAGTTCATAAAATGCAACTTCTAACTTTTCGTAAAATGCGATGGATTTGATATTCTGGATTAATCTCAACGTGGATAAGCCCTTAAACATCAAGCATTCGTAGTTTGCCCTCAAGAAACAATATGTGATCATTCTAGTGAATAAACTTCGCCCAATTCAAAACATTCCTCCTCTCTTGTATTGAGGTATCCTTTTGGAGAGCTCACTTTAGGAATACCTCCCTCGTAGTTCATTATTTTACATAAATATCTATCTATCCTGCCTGATATGGGCATATCACTTTCCAGCCCGAAAGCGGGAAGATCTGATCCAGTTCAGATTGCAGCTTCAAATAAAATTGACGTGAAACTCCACGTCGTGCCGCAGTTCAACCTTGAAGTACAAGCTACTGCAGGGAGCCTTGGAATCGATACATGTCAACGATGTTGCATCGATTCTAACCCATCCACTTATCTTAACAAAAATTAATTTTAATATCCCATTTTCCTTTTCCCATCTTGTTTCTGCTGAATATTTGCGTTTTTCTCTTCCGAGTCCTTTCTGACTTCCCTGCCGGGGCTTGTCAGTCCACTTTGCTTATCGTGGCAAATGTGAAGGCACTAACAAACACATCAATTAGGACATAAATATTTGCTACAAATTTTTAACTGGTAGGATGTACAAATAAGATTGTTGTTAGTTTTAAATGTGTAGCTGAGGAGTTCAAGTTGTGCCAACCTCCAAAACTCGAGAGCTCAACAATTAATTTCTGGCATTCCCATCTCTACAAACATCTTCAAATTTAATTGATTTCCAAACATCAAAGGTTTCCGTTTTCTGAAGCAAAGGATGTCATTGGCTATACAAGTAAAATTAAAAAACACCTTTCTCATAAATTTCCGTCCTCTTGTACTTTCCTTTCCTCACGAGGTTCGGCTAAAGAATCTGCACAATTCAACAGTCGGGGCAGTTCTGCTCTTTTGACTTGCACTTGATTAGCCCTCTGTTCGGCGGAAAAGCAGCTAAGCAAACTTTTCAGCCTTTGACAATAATTTCTACTAAAAATAAAACAAATGCAAGGGTTCACTGCACAGTTTGAATTAGCCAAAACGTAGCAAGTTAGTTCGAAGCGATCCCAACCGCAAGAACGTACGATCGGTACGTAATTCACAACGATTTTGAAAATGCTCAACGGCAACAGGCATATTGCAAACGCCAACACGATAGCAATGGACATCTTAAGCACATTTCTTTCTCTCTTTCTAAGTTGATCGCCATTGTTGGTCGATCTTTCGCCGGGTATTTTCTGTCGTTTGAGTTTTAAATAAATAACTATATATACTATAGCTATCAAAACCAAAGGAATACAGCGGAAAAGAGTCAGAACTACCGTATCGTAAGTGAAGGACACGAAAACTTCATTTAAGACTTCACGATAAAGGGTCTGACAAAGGAGTATTCCATCAGGATACATTACCAGATGAGAACCAAGAAAGTAAGGGGAGTAGATTCCGAATGAGATGATCCAAGTGGCAACAATTAAGAAACAGCACAACTTGGAAGTGATGAGTGGTGGTCGAAGAGGATATACCACAGCTCCAAATCGATCCACTGCTATAAGAACCAGGCTCTGAACTGACACAGAGGCAGATACGTGGATCATGAACTCTACTAGCTTGCAGAAGACCTCGCCTTGAGGTTCAACCAGGAACGAGGTTTGGAAGTGCATCCCTACCAGGTTCGGTGGGACTACGAAAATCGCAAAGAGCAGATCAGACATAGCCATGTTTACGATTAAAAAGTTGATTGGTTTCCTCATGGCTCTAGACTTGAACACGATGATCGAAATCAAACTATTTCCCACCAGAGAGAAAACGAAAATCGCGCAGTCAAACAGTGTTTCCACGACTTTGTTCACTGTAGGATTGAAGCAGTGCAGGTGCATGTGTGTTCCATTTATCGATGTGTTCAAATTTCCTGACATCTTGTGTTTCAGCAGTATAGAGTTCTACAGCACACTTAGCAAGTTTCTCTCTTTTGCAGTTGTACAGAAACCCGAGTTTGGGCTTTTAACTTAGTGTGGAATATTCGTGATGAGCGCACTGCTCACGAAAATTGTTCATTTACAATTCGATGGAATTGTTAATCAGAGCAGGTGTTCAACTCCAAAAGCTAAAATTTTTTTTAAAATAAATCGTGAAAATATTACATTGTTTACATTTACAAAAAAAATTGCAAAACCTCATGCAAAGATATATTCTTACATTACTCTTTTCAAGAGAAAATATATCTTTTTCGGTCTTGTATTATGCTAGGAAGATACAAGTATCTTCAGAAACTAATGAATTATTCTGAATAATATAAATCTTCTGGCGGTACAACAAATTAGCTGGTGTATTTATTATGCAGCACAATGGCCAAGTATTGATTTCTTTAGGAGCGGTTGTCAATTTGTTTTCACAAGCTGCTAAATGTCAATAATTCGCCAGCATATGCTAGGATCCAGTTACTCGCGAAC